TATTAGTCTTTTAAAAGTACGAAGAAAAAAAGAGTTTAGATGATTAAAATAGCTAAAACAAATTCAGGAGTTAGGATCAGAACTCGAATCCAACATTATTTAACTCTTCTTTACTTGGCAATTGGATTAATAAAATATATAGCGCTTATGTTCAATAGTTCTCATATTTCTAGGTCTCAATATAAAACATAAATGTTAATCTTATATTTAATGCATCTCTTATTTCTAGGTCTCAATAAGGTTATTTTGTTTCTAGTACATCTCCAATTTCTAGGTCTAAGTAGTGTGCTAGAAAATGTTCGGCTTAAATAATCTATATCCTCGTATACAAGACAAGAATTATTTTCCTATTACTTATTTAATAAAATGTTTAATACTACTCCCTCCGTCCTATATCTTTCTTCCCGGTTCGCAAAACGAAGAAAAATCCCAAGTTTTTTCAATCTATTTTATTTAAATATTGGTATAGAAATAAAAAATAAAACATACATATTTAAATACTACACGAAAAGTTCAACAAAATAAGTGGTGACAAGAATATTTTATTTTATCATATAGGCCATGAAAAAACACAAATAAATATAAATTTCCGTGAAGTTGGAATAGTGCTCTGGGAAGATCATTATAGGACGGAGGGAGTATTAAGTAGTTAAAACCATTCCAAACAGTTATTTCTAACTCTGCCTATTTCTTGGTGTTTGGAATGTGTGGCTTAATTAATCTTATTACCTCATATAAACAATTCTATTAAATAATCATTACTAATTCATTTTCTTAGAATTCATCGAATTACTAATTAAAAGATAAATTAAATTGGTTAAATCTTAATTCTAAATCTTAATCCATGAAAAATTACCATGTCATAGTCTCAAATAAAACATTTAACATCCTCATAACAACATATAAAATTCGTAAAATTATATCAATCATCAATATATTTCAAAGTAAACAAAGTAATATTTTATTAATAAATGTTAAATAAAAAATACAATGATGAAAAGATAGACTTACACTCCTCTTAAAGCTGGAAAATTGACTCTTGATGGTGAAAATTAACCAAAGCAAATATAATACTCCCTCCGGTAGGGATTAATCTTCCCATTTGGACTTTTTCTCATTCTTATGAAGTGTTAACTTTGGGAGAAAATATCCAATATACCCTTCATTCTTTTCCTGTTTTACAACCCCAACACTGCCCTCCCCTCCCTTAATCTCGATCAGCCAGGGGCTAGGGCCGTTAGCTCCACCATTATTGACCCATCCCCCACCACCATCGCCGTCAGCTCTGCCACAATTCACCAACCCCCCACCACAATCGCCTCTCAGCCCCAACGTTACCACTCACCATCAGTCGCGCTATCATCCCTAGCCGCCACCATCTCCTTCTCCGAGAGAAAGAGAAAAGGGGAAGAGAAAAAAGAAGGGGGAAGATGAGAAGAAGATCTAGTACATATCTACTGAAGATCTGGGAGAGAGGGAAGAGAAGAATTTCGGGAAGAGAAGAAGAAGAAGAAGAAGAAGAAGAAGAAGAAAAGAAGAAGAAGAAGAAGAAGAAGAAGAAAAATAAAAAGGAGAGAGGAAAGGATGAGAAAAAGAAAAAATAATAAGAAAAAGGGAAGGAGAGAAAGATAAGAGGAGTGTGGTGAGGAAAAGTGGGAGGAGAGAGAAAGGGGAGAGGGGAGAGATAGAGTGAAAATGTTAAGTGGGGGTATTTTTGGTAGTTAGTGTATAAAAAAATTGAAATGGGAAGATTATTTCTGGACGGAGAAAAATGAGAAATGGGAAGATTATTTCCGAACGTAGGGAGTACAATATTTGGAGAAGAAAAATGAAGAATTTCGGTCCTAAAAGGGGAAAAATCTAAATACGAAAATCTTGGGAAAGAGGAGAAGCTCGCTGGCTTTTTATAGAAAGGAGAGGTACACCAGGCGGGTTCCTGTTAGCCCGCCGCTGCCTGTTGCTCATATTCAGCAACCTTCGCCACCGCCTCTAGTATGTGGGCAAGCGGGCGCATGCAAGCCCGCTAGTGCTAAGATTCGCTTGACATCCCCATTTTTCCATCAAGAAGCTTCACCGCGAATTTCCAATATGCGGCCAGGCAGGCAGCTGCCTACTGCACAGCCATTAACCGTTGATGTTTGTTTACGTGAAACCGTGTTCAGAACACTTTTTTCTTCGGTATCGACTTCCAATTCTTACTTCTTAATTCAAAAAACATTCTTTTTATGACCAATTTATCAAAACACATCATTTTGATGAAAAAGATTAAAGAATGAATTCATTTGATAATTAAAATAGTGCAAGAACGTACTAAATACAAGTAAAAAAATTAGTACGAAACGGACTTATTAAGCTCCTCTGCCAATAAGAAGAGTGAAATAGAGATCCTAAAAGAAGAGAACAAACGCCTCCAAGAACAGGTTGAAGCCCTAGCCGCTAAGTTCACAACAATCCAAGAAGATTTTAAAAAAATTGCATGGTAATAACTACCCTCCTCAAGACGATGATGGAAGAGGGAGGATGAGGGCAACTGGAGGTAGTTTGTTAGAGTGTTTGAATTAGAATCTTTGACTTGAATTGTTTTATGCATACATTAAATTAACTTAAATATTTGTACTTGTTCTACATTACAATGTGGAATTTGTTTAACATTTATATTTATAAGTTGTTTGTGGTTGTATTATGCTATGTGTTTTCGGTTATCCCACTCCATGTGAATAGTATGTGTTTACTGAAAAACTACAGATCATCAGGAAAACTAGATCTTAGGGTGTGTAATTGTGCTCTCTACGACGGATATGCAACAGAAATCATATTCCATCGCAGATAACAAATATCGTAGGTAAACAATAAACCGTCGCAGTCTCCGTCGCTATCTGCGACGGGAGATGAGGTCCGTCACAGAAAAGATCAAATTTGGACATTCTCATTTTCGTCACAGCTTCGTCGCAGATCTATGAGGGATGCAACTTTCCGTCACATATTACACCCTGGCGACGGTAAATTTGCGATGATACTTTATTGTCACAGTTTCGTCGAAAATAAAGAATCTACTACGGTTTTCTGAAATCTGCGACGGAAGTTCACCGTCGCTGATTCAACAGATTCTTGTAGGGATTGTATAGAACATGAAAAAAATTGAAGACATTAACATTAGAAATTAGAATATTTATGTTGTGGTGTGAAGAAATTGAACTAGAACCACGATGACATTATTTTGTGATTTGAGGACTTTAAACTACAATGCGATAAAATTAGTTTGTGGGTGAGGATAATATAAAAACCTAAGTGATAGAAACCATTTATTTGATTTTACCCGAATGTAGAAACCAAGACTGGAATTGTCATTTATTACCACGAGCACAGAACAAGAATTAAAAACATTCCCTCTCAGTTCCAAAAAAGTTTTTCCGTTTCATATGGACACAATTTTATATTTTTATTGCTTATTTGATAAAAGAACATTATTGTTGTTACGTCGTATTTTGTAAAAATATTTTATGTAGCTTAAAATATATAAATTTTATTTTTTTTAAATTTTACTTCAACTTTAATATAAATTGACCTAAAATAAATTATGCAAAAGAAAAAAACCGTCACAATGGAACAATCAACCAAAACGTGCCGCTTGAATACAGTGGGAATTAAATTATTGAGTAAATTCCATAAAAGATCCCTATTTATAAGTTGTTTTTACATATTTAGTCCCTACATATCAAATATCAATAATTTAGTCCTCAATTATTATATTGTTTTCCATAAATAGTCCTTTGTTAACATTTTCGTTAAGAACATGGATAAAATTGTATATCCACACTCCTCTCTCTCTTCAATTAAGCTTTCTCCCTCCTCTCGTACTCATTCCCAAACTCGTCCCCGAGTTTGAAGCTCTAAACCGAAAATCGAAACAATAACTCTTCTCTCAATTGTTACTTTCCCTGATGGAACCCAAAATCAAAATCAATAACCTTCATGGATGAGTTTTATAGGTTAGTCTCAGGAAATTGCAAAGAATTGAAAACAAATCATAAAACTCATCCATGAATGCTACTGGTTTCGATTTTAGATTCCACCGAGAAGACGAACAATTGAGAGAGGAGTGATGATAATTTTAGTTTTTGGTTCAAAGCTTCAAACACAGCGACGTGTTTGGGAAAGGAGTTGGAGAGGAGGGAGGAAGCTTAATTGAGGAGTGAGAGAAGTATGAATTTACAATTTTATAAATACACCTTTTTTTAATGGAAATGTTAACAAAGGACCATTCGTGAAAAAAAGTATAATAATTGGGGACTAAATTATTGATATTTGATATGTAGGAACTAAATATGTAAAATGAACAATAATTGGGGATCCTTTATGAAATTTACTCTTTTATCCATGTTCTTAACGGAAATGTTAACAAAGGACTATTTGGGGAAAACAATATAATAATTGGAGATTAAATTATTGATATTTGATATGTAGGGACTAAATATGTAAAACGACCTATAACTGGGACCTTTTATAAATTTTACTCTTTTTTATAAGTCAAAAATGTAAGATTACATTGGTTAAGTGAAGAAAAGATTATCCACGTACAAATTGTTTACTTCAAAAAGAAAAGAGAAGTTTTTTTTAATAGACATACAACTAAACTCATAACAATTTTATAGGAAAGAAGGACCATATAAAAGAAAAAAAAGAATGACACATCATCCTCGAGGGCTCCTTAGCACTGGCCGGATACTTAAGTGAGAAGAGAGCAATTGAGTTATAATATCAGTCAATTGACATACGGGTAGAGTTTCATGCGTGATATATACATGCAAAAGCTTTATGCGTTGTATGATTGCCTCTGGTCATAACCACCAGACTTCGAACTCGGAATCTCTCCCTTATCCCACCCCTATGCCAACCCATAAGGAAATCATTAAAGATCCGTTTGGTACACGGAATTGATGGAATTGGAATTAAATTGGATTTAAAATTTCATGGGATTAAATTCCATAGAATTGAATTTACCAATTCCAATTCATTTTTTGCACTACTAATTCCAAATCCACAATTTTTGTGATACCAAACACGAGAATTGGAATTGATGGAAGGTGAAGTTCCCAAATATCACGTTCTCCTTCTAATTATGTATCACATCGTACATTTTCACAAACCGAACTTCGAATATCCTAACCAGCAGTTGCCACCCATCCAACAACCGGAGACAGAGTAATCCGGCCGCTCAGCACCACCAGAGTGTGGCGGCGCTCCATCAAAACTAGCAATGCAATCAACAACCCCATTTATAGCTCTAGTCTGCTCCGCGTTATTACCATGGCAATCCCATAGCCATATATGTGCCATGCCACGCTGCACTGCTAAAAACGTTGCGAGCTCAAAGTTTGGGCCGACCACAATTGAAGGGCATATGTGAATCACGAATTCGCCGCGCTCGCCGGACTCGATCACCACCGGGCTTGTCATGTTCCGGCGGGATAGCCGGAGGACGACGTGATCGATTCCCTTCTTTGGGCAAAAAGGCAATAAATCTTCCAAGTACTTGCTTCTGTCGAGGATTAATCGGGTTGCGCGATCATCGGACTCGTAGAAGAGAGAAAAGCGTCTTCCGGCAGCGGTGCCGCCGGCATCGTTGACCACGGTAACGGCGAACCCCTTGGTGGCTTCATGGTTTGCCCAAATGGAGAGCAGAGCAATGAAGGCAATGAAAACCAGCCGGAAAGTGAAGCCACCATCATTGAAGTCGTCGTTTTGAAGTTGAAGGGTCGTTTTCGATAGTAAAGGGCGGGTGGGATGGGATTGGTGGGCTTCTGCCTCGCCCATGCTCATGAACAAGCTAATTAACTAGCAGAAATAGGCTCATTATTTATCTCCAGGCCAGCTGATCCATGATGGAGCTGGAAGTATGATGGGCACATGAACTGGCCGGCGGTGGGACCCTTTGTGCATTATTATGAAACTTCACTTTCTTTGGTCTATTAGTCCTCTGCTGTTTCAAAGTTGTCCCTTGTTTCACTTTTCTTGGTAAAGTTTATAAATTTTTATATGCATTTGTTGAAAAAAATTTGTGTAATAATATACTTCATAAATATAATAGCAATAAATTCATTTTAAAATATAATTTCGAAACATTAAATATTTATCAAATATATTATGTGTAAGTTAAATATAGATATTAATGATGAGAGTGTTATAATAGAAACAACGAAAAATCAAATGGTAAGAAAATTTTCGAAATGGGGAGTTTAAAATTATTAGTTCCTCCGGAAAATATAACTCTTTTCTTTCCAAAACATAGGCTCTGTTTTTTTATGTTCGAAAAATTAACTTTCTACTTTATCCAACTCCTTCCAGTTTTTTTCTAATAACGACTTAAAAAAAGTACTCCCTCCGTTCTCAAAAACACTTCCTCTTTCATTTTTTCTACTTCCAACAAAACACTTCCCCTTTCTATTAAAAAACCACTTTACCCTTACTTTTTCCTACTCTACCTATCACATCATACTTTTTCTCTAATAATCTATCCATCACATCTTACTTTTACCCATCACATCAGGGGCAAAATTGGAAATCAACTATAATTTAACACTTCCTTATTTTTGCCCCCAAATCAAATGGGAAGGGTTTTTCCAAACGGAAGGAGTATTTATTATGGTGACTATAAAATAATATTGTATATCTAAATTTATAACATATCACATCAAACACAAACAATAATGAACTCTTTTTTATTTAAAGTAAGAGTTGTCTTATATATGCATTGGGTGATCATTTAATAGGAAGACTTTTTAACACTTATATTTTTCTAACAGTGTCCAATTACTTCTAACTTTTTCTAGCTCCTCGTTTCTTCTAATTTTATTCTAATTTCTTCTAACATCTAACTCTGAAATTTCAACCCAAAAGAAGAGTCTTAGTAATAAAATCGATATAACTTCAAAATGTTGCACCTTTAACCCGAGTGACAAATTTTTGTTTAATTTCTAGTGAGAAAGAGAGGTGTTAGTGCATTTATTTTCCAATAGTCATCGTGCAATGGGATGGTCTAAGTCTAAGGCAAATAAGATGGGGCTAAAGGTGGCCTAATAGCATGAATACCCCCGTGGTTTACAAAAAGGGTGTTCAAATTAAACCCTCTTTATTTTCAAAAGTTATTTGTAAAATCCTTATGATTTCTAAATAGAGCATACATGCCCCCTTATCTATTTTTAAAGAAAAAATGACATTTATGCCATTTTTTTTCCTTGATCTTGAATTTTTCCAATTTTATTTTCTTTTATTTTACAAATATATAAAATAAAAAATCAAATATACGCTTGTCATCTTAAATTTAATTTTTCAATAATGTATTTTTGAAAACAAAAGATTTTTTTGGAGAATGTTACAAAAGAAAGTGAAAAATAAAATATTATGTACAAAGTAAAAATAATAATTGAAAAAGGTAATGAAAAGAAAGAAAAATATAAAAAACAACCTTTTTCTTTAACTCTGTATTTTATTTCATCTTTCTGTTCTTCCTTTTTTAAAGTCTTTAAAAAATTATTTTACTTTTAAACAAATAACTAAGTTAGAATTTTTAATTAGGGATACAGTGAGTATATGTTATCTTATTTTTTATTTTATTTATTTTACTTTTACTTATAATGAAAAAGTGTTTTTTATTTCATTTTTAAATTTTAATTTTCTTTTGTAACATTTTCTAAAAAAATTGAAAATTAAATAAATGAAAAATTTTAATTTGAGAAAGAGGGTGTATATTTTATTTATTTGTATAACAAAAATTGTAAATAAAAGATTGAAACTTGAAAATAGAGAAAAACAAAGGGCATAAATCTCATTTCATGTCCAATAATATAGGCAAGAGGAGGCATTTGTGCACTATTTAAAAACTACACGGGTTTTACAAATAACTTTTGAAAGTAGAGGGGGTATTGACATTTTTTTATAAACCACAGGGGGCACTCATGCTATTACCCCGACTAAAGGGAGTCACCTTTGATAGTTTTTACTCTAGCCTTTGCCCCACTATACATATCTCTGACTTTTCGAATATAAGTCATCTCCTCTTGACTGAAGACACTATCGTGTGCCTTCTCGAGATCAATAAACACCATATGGAGATCATCCCTCTAGCCCTGTACTCTTCCATCAACCTCCGCAGGAGGTAATGACCTCCGTGATCAAACATCCGGGCATGCTGTTGAAATAATAGACTTGGGCCCAATTCAACCCCAAAAGTTAACTCAAGAGGTTGATGTACTCAAGCTATTAAATGGCAGCACAATATAAGGCTGCATTGCCGATGTGAGATGAACAAGTCAACACATGCAACTAAATCGAGTCTCTGAAATGCGGACCCCTTTTGTAACCTAGCATCAATAACCTGCTCCCAAACCATTATGATGTCACTAAGAACTCTGATGCCTCTATAATTCTCGCAACTCTGAATGACTTGGACATTATTCTTCTCACTAGTCATTATTAAGTCTTATTTAGAGAAAAAAGTTTAAGTCTTACATTAGAAAATGACTTATATTTTAGTCCTATTCATTGCAAAGGTAATTTACCTAAATAAGACTAAAACATAATGACTTTCTCAATAAAGGACCATATATTTTTATTTACTAATGTAGGACAATTGGTCATTATCTATTAGTCATTATTCAACAATATGTCCAGCATCACTTGGACATTATTTTTCTCACTAGTCATATTTAGGAAATAAAAAAGTTTAAGTCTAACATTGGAAAATGACTTATGTTTTAGTTTTATTCAATGCAAATTTCACTAAGAATAAGGGTAATTTATCTAAATAAAAAAGAAAGAATTTATAAAATTCTATTATAATGACGAATAATATTAAAGGTAGAATATAACTATGTTTTTTTGTACCAGGTCATTAACTATGTTTAAAATTTATACTACCTCCGTCCCAATTTATAACGCCTGTTTCGGTTTACGATGTTTGACTGAAATTATTTTCAAACCATTTTATATGACAAATGGTATAGAATTAAAAAATAAAAATTACATATTAAAAAACTACATCAAAAGATCTATAAAACTAGTAGTGACAATAATATTTTATTTTATCAAATTGCCAACGAAAATAGAGAAAGAAAGTGAATAAAGTTTGACCCTGTGAATAGTAAACATGCATTATAATTTGGGACGGAGGGAGTAATACTTTATCTAGTTTATTTACAAAGGCAGCAGGAAAATAATCCCGCCCAAATATTCTAGCAACCGCCCACACACGATCTCCTCACGATCTTGAGACGCACAACCTCTACACTACAATCTCTCCATCAATTCCACCTGTTTTTGGGAAATCTCAGATGAACAAACCTTACAGCTACGTTCTCAGCGGTACAACATAGCTTGATTTTGCTTCCGATCCTCTTCGCTCGCCTGAGCCTAGGGCAGATCTTCGCTCACAGTGATAAAGGGGTAAAGATGCAACGAGGAAGAATGGCAGAACCAGGCTTTAAACCATTAAATTTAGAGAACTACTTACTAGACACATCACAGGGCAGTGATGAGGGTAACACCCTTTTCTCTTTTTTATTGAAATTTCTTTATATATATGACTGAATCTTTCATTTTCTTCCTATTCTCTTCGATGGAGTGATAATGTCTCTGTCCTTGGATTCTTGCAATAGGTCAACAACATCACACTTCATCAATGATACCACCATTTTAAAGTGATATTTTTCTTCTCATGAATTCGTTTCTAAATTTGGACTTCTCAAACAGCCAATGAATTAGAAGTCATTTTCCAAATTTAATTTCACTGCTTTGTGTTTTTTAATATGCTCTATATGTATACATGAATTTATAATCTTTAATTGAAGAATATACTTTAGGTGCAAATATATGTATTTTTCATTATATACATGTAATTTTTAAAGATACTAGATCCTAAAGTTTGATAATATTGCAACACATAAGTCTTAAAGTTGTTATACCTATTTAGTTTTAAGTTGGTATAGTAAAATGTCTTCCAGTTCTCTCAAAAAGAAAGGTGAGGGTGAAGTCTCCAAGTGCCAAGTGAAGGAAGCAAGAGGAATGAAAAACAACTGTGCCTCTTGCAACTTGCAATATCTCTTTATTTAAAGGTAAAAAAGATAATTATTTTGCTATAAAATCATTATGAACTTATTTAGATATGTGTTGTCTCCTTTCTGTATATAGCTTCAAGTGGTATACATTCTCTTCTTGAATTCAATTTAAATTGACTTTTATTAAATATGGATTCTCAAACCATTGTTGATTATGAATTTATTTTTTTCAGATTCACTAGAATGTTGAGGCTCATAATTGCCCCTTCATCTAATCCCAATCTTATCTTAAGGTAAAATATTTCTATTATCCTCTTTCTCTGTTCAATTTTTAAAAAACGCTCTAGATAAATTTAGGTTCTATTTTGTGTCAAATTCTTAAAAATTTTCAAAAATAATGTAGGAAGATGTAGCTACCATTTATTCTGATGCAATCTCTTCTCCATTTAGAATCATCTTCTTCAATTTGTCATGCCAAAGTATAGTTGCTGCTCATTCTTATTGAAACTTTGAATTTGGAAACTCTTCTTTGAATGGTTCATGATGAAATTCCTTTCAGGTAATCTTTTGTTTTTTCAAAACTAGAGGACTTCTAAGAGCTTTTTGAGATATTACCTTAGTCATTATAAAATAAAAATTATGGGAACCCGAAATGAAAATACATCTTTCAAACTAGAGGACTTTTTGAGATTTTACCTCAGTCATTATAAAATAAAAATTGAATATGTGAATGAGCACTTCTAAGAGCTTGCTAACAATGGGTTTTTGCCCGGGTCATGATAAAATTAAAATAAATACTCGAGTATTAAATATTATATTTTAACAAGGCTGAACTTTGTAGAAAACTGTTGAATTAGCCTTTTAATGTATGCCCTATTTCAAAATCATTGGTTGTTCTAAACACGAAAAAAAGTTTACTTGAGAAAATACTACAAAATAGAGGAAATGGTCAATCTTT